AAGGACAGGGCCCAGAATACAGGCGATCTGAAGACTGAATGAATAAGCAGATGCACAGATCATATTTGATGATCGGGGGCTAATATGGGACATGCATGGGTATGCCTCTTATGACCTGGAAAAAACAAATGCCCCTCTAGCTTCCTGCTATTTCTCCTACCAACCACATCCAGTCAGTCATCTGATTCTATAGATTCTTCCATCAATATCCCTCTCTCACATGGCCATCCAGTTGCCTTTTCCTCAGATCTGCAGCCCCGGTGCAGACCTTCTCTGCTACCGCCTGGGTCACTACACAAGCCTCCTCAGTTTCTACATTTCCAGTCTCTTTACCTTCAGTCCATCCCCAGCACAGATCCCTGTGCGACATGTAATGCCCAGCTGTGACTCTATCCCTCCTGCCCTAGCCCTTCCACTGCTTTCTCCAGAACTGAATGGCAACTCCACTAATGACCAGACCTCGGGCAACTCCACCAATGACCAGACCTGGGGCAACTCCACCAACGACCAGACCTCAGACAATTCCACCAATCACCAGACCTAGGGCAACTCCACCAATGCCCAGACCTCAGACACCTCCACCAATGACCAGACCTCAGACAGCTCCACCAATGACCAGACCTCAGACAGCTCCACCAATCACCAGACCAGGGCAACTCCACCAATGACCAGACCTCAGACAGCTCCACCAATCACCAGACCTCAGACAGCTCCACCAACCACCAGACCTGGGGCAACTCCACCAATGCCCAGACCTCAGACAGCTCCACCAATCACCAGACCTTAGACAGCTCCACCAATGACCAGACCTTAGACAGCTCCACCAATGACCAGACCTCAGACAGTTCCACCAATCACCAGACCAGGAGCAACTCCACCAATGACCGGACCTCAGACAGCTCCACCAATGACCAGACCAGGGGCAACTCCACCAATGACCAGACATTAGACAGCTCCACCAATGACCAGACCTCAGACAACTCCAACTATCATACCTCAGACAGCCCCACAAATGACCAGACCTCAGACAGCTCCACCAATCACCAGACCTCAGACAGCTCCACCAATCACCAGACCAGGGGCAACTCCACCAATGACCAGATCTCAGACAGCTCCACCAATCACCAGACCTTGGGCAATCCCTGTCTTTCTCTCTTTGAACTCTGATTTCTTCATTGGGAACAGGAGCAGTCAGACCAGGCTATTCCATTCCAAGATCGAAGGCACTGGTACTATTTCTGTCCTTAACTTCTCCTTTTAAATCTCCCGTTTTATTATTTGAATCTTGCTGGGGCAGCACAATGACATGGTGAGGAGCCTAGGTTGGAGCCTTGCTTCCCCTATGGAACAACTTAACCTCTGAATGCTTCTGTTTCCCCAGTGGTGAGATGGAGGTATTAATGGCACCTGCCTTACAGGGTGAAGAAAAATAAATAGCTTAATATATGTGAAGCCCCTAGAACTGTCTGGACCCAAAAAAAAAGTTGGTTGTTGTGAGCTGAAATTCAACCAGAAGGGGAAAAAAATTAAAAAAAGGCAGTGGCTCACGCCTGTAATCCCAGCACTTTGGGAAGCCAAGGCAGGCAGATCACCTGAGATTGGGAGATGGAGACCATCCTGGCTAACATGATGAAACCCTGTCTCTACTAAAAATACAAAAAATAGCCAGGCTTGCAATGGCATGCATGTTTCCTTTGAAAAGAAAAAAAGAAAAAAGAAAAAGAAAAAAAAGCCAGGCATGGTGGCACATGCCCATAATCCCAGCTGCTCAGGAGGCTGAGACAAGAGAACTGCTTGAACCTGGCAGGCAGAGGTTGCAGTGAGCCAAGATTGCACCTTTGCACTCCAGCCTGGGTGACAAGAGCAAAATTCCATGTTAAATAAATAAATAAATAAGTTGGCTGGACGGGTGCACTTGCTCATGCCTATAATCCCAACACTTTGGGAGGCTGAGGCAGGTGGATCACCTGAGGTCGGGAGTGATCAGCCTGACTAACAGAGAAACTCCATCTCTCTAAAAATACAGAATTAGCCAGGTGTGGTGGTGCATGCCTGTAATCCCAGCTACTCGGGAGGCTGAGGCAGGAGAATTGCTTGAACCCAGGAGGCGGAGGTTGTAGTGAGATTGCACCATTGCACTCCAGCCTGGGCAACAAGAGCAAAACTCCATCTCAAAAAAAAAAAAAAAAAAAAAAAAAAAAAAAAGGAGAAGGCTTTGGTTCAACTGTGAGTAAGTGTTAAAAGCAAGATTTGAACCCAGTTCTTTCTAGGTTCTATACCCCACAAGGTTGGTGGCACATGACTGATACTGTGGGAGAGAGTGCATAGGTGGTAGCTGGTGAAATGAATACTAGGAAGGAATTCAGCAGTTGGATTCAATCTCTTCCAAATTACTCTACTGTTACCCTAGAGGCATGGCTTGCAGCCTGACTGCACCCTGATCCTCAGCGTGATCTTGGGCCACCGGCTCCTGGTGCAGTGGGTGGTAGAAGCATGGATTTGGGAATCAGAACACCCCTGATCAGGTGTCCCCAAACTGCGGCCCCCTGAGGCCATTTATCCGGCCCCCCGCCGCACTTCAGGAAGGGGCACCTCTTTCATTGGTGGTCAGTGAGAGGAGCACAGTATGTGGTGGCCCTCCAACGGTCTGAGGGGCAGTGAACTGGCCCCCTGTGTAAAAAGTTTGGGGACGCCTGCCCTAGATTCTAATCGCAGTTCTGCCATTGATGAGTTATATCGCCTCTTCCAGCCCCTGTTTCCATTCCTGTGAACCACAAACAATGGGACTTTCCTTACAATGGTTTTGATGGGTTGAATAAAAATCCCCATGCTATGTACTCCTGCCCCACTTTCTCTCTCTAGGCCACTATTTTTCCATTTGAAAAATGATGAGACCTTTCCGCTCTGACACTCTAGGATCGTGATATTCTCTATGTCTTATTTTAGCTCAGTGTCTGGCTCCACACGCTGTGATTCAAGTTTGCACGGAGGTTGCACCCTGCCTTCCCTGGAAAAGGTGTCTTCAGGATAGGTTGAAGGCATGGGGGAGGTTGCGCCCAGAGGAGGCTGGGTGAGGAGCAGGGGCTGGAGGAGGGGATGCTGGAGGATCCCTTTTCAACTGTTAGCACAGCCACTGTAAAGAAGGAGCTCAGTGCCAGCCCCAAGGGATGGAATGGAGATGAGGCATGCAGCGGGGTTTGTTCATAAAATATCAACTGAATTACAAGGACCTGATTTGGGTTTAATTAAATTATGCTGAATTAATTTGAATTGAATTGAAGAATGGAGTCAGATGAACTGGGGTTAGTTGGATTGGATGGATGGAGTTAAATGTACTCAAGCTGAGTTGATTTGGGCTGATTTTAGCTGAATTGGTTTGGATTGAGCTGAAATTTGGAGAGCAACACTAGTGAAAAAAGACTTCAGGCCAGGCACGGTGGCTCATGCCTGTAATCCCAGCACTTTGGGAGGCTGAGGTGGGTGGATCATGAGGCCAGGAGTTCAAGACCAGCTTGACCAACATGATGAAACCCCATCTCTACTAAAAAATTACAAAAATTAGCCAGGCGTGGTGGCAGGTGCCTGTAATCTTAGCTACTCAGGAGGTTGAAGCAGTAGAATCGCTTGAACCTGGGAGGTGGAGGTTGCAGTGAGCTGAGATCACGCCACCGCACACTCCAGCCCGGGCGGCAGAGCGAGACTCCATCTCAAAATAAATAAATAAACAAACAAACAAATAAAGACCTTAGACCAGGCACAGTGGCTCACGCCTGTAATCCCAGCACTTTGAGAGGCCGAGGCAGGAGGATCACTTGAGGCCAGGAGTTTGAGACCAGCCTGGCCACCATGGCAAAACCCCATCTCTACTAAAAATACAAAAATTAGCGGAGCATGGTGGCAGGTGCCTGTAGTCCCAGCTACTCGGGAAGCTGAGATGGGAGAATTGCTTGAACCTGGGAGGCACAGGTTGCAATGAGCCAAGATCATGCCACTGGATTCCAGCCTGGGCAAAAGAGGGAGACTCCATCTCAAAAATAATAATAATAATAATTAATTAATAATAAGAAGAAAAAAGGCTTTACTGGAACTCTGGACACTCAAATCCTCTGGCAATTGTTTATGTTGGTATCTTGGGCAACTCTCTATGCAGTTCTGGGCCTAGGTACCCCCATTTTCTCAAGTGAATGCTAATAATAACTCCTAGAGATGTTAGAAGATGGGTGTGAGATCACATAGGCAGAACAAGCTTGTGCCTCAAAAGAAGAAAAAAACCTGTAAACAAATTTTGAACTCTGATTCCATGTATGATGAAGTATGTGGGGTGAGGTGTACTGACGCCTGAAACTTACTCTGAAATGCACCTGGACAGCAAGGTAGATTGGTGGATGGTTGAACATATAGACAGATGGACAGATGGACAGATACAAGGTTGTGCAGGTCTAGGGGTCTGTTAATGGTTGACTCTAAGTGGTGGCTACATGGGTGTTCGCTATACATTTCTTTGGACTTTTCCATTTATTTGAGAAAATTTAAAACAAAATATTGCACAGAAAATAAGGAGCCTTGTAAACTGTTAATTGCAGTTTATCAGCAGTGGTTAAAAATACAGCCTCCGGAGGCGAATTGCGTGAGTTTCATTCCCAGCTCTGCCTCTCACTAGTTGTATGGCCCTGAGCAAATGACTTCATCCCTCTGAGTGTCTGTTTCCATATCTGTAAAATGGGCTATTAATAGGATTTACCTCACAAGGTTGTTGTGGATATCAGAACAGAGCCTGCTACCTAATTAGCACCCAGTAAGCCCTCGCTATCATGTGGTGCTCTAAAGGACTCTCTGCAATGGGCACTACTGTTTCCATTAAACACAGAAGGAAAAGTGGGGCTCAGAGAGGGTCTGCAACTCCTCCCAGGTCACACAGCAAGGAAGTGGCTAAGCGGAAGAGGAACCACGCGTCCCTGGAACTGGAAATGGTCCCCCAGCGCACAAGGCCTTAGGCTCACCCGACAGTATGAAGAAGATGCCAGAGACGAAAGCCAGAATGGTCCTCTGCGGGCGGATGTGGCCGATGTTGCTGATGACGAAGGCCGTGAACACGAGGAAAAGACTGACCATGGGGAAGGGGGTGGCCGTGCGCACTGTCTCTGGGGAGGGGATGGGGAGAGACAGGGGTGAGGGGGAATCTCCAGCGGGACACTTCCCCATTCCTTGACCTCTGCTCTCACCACCTCTGCCCTTTAGTTTGACTCCTCCCCTTCCCCACTGGCTCCTCCCCTTCCCCTGATACGTCCTCGGTCGACACAGGCCTGCCACGCCCCTTCACAGGCCACACCCCCGTGGGCTTAATCCCGCCCCTTTCTGGCTGACTCCTCCTCACCAACGGGACCTCATTCTTTCAGCCTTGCCCCTTCTTACCTAACCACTCTGCTCTGCCTTGCCTTGACTTGCTTTTCTTTCTTTCTTTTTCTTTCCTTCCTTCCTTTCTCTCTCTTTCTTTCTTTCTCTCTCTCTTTCTTTTGCCTGTCTTTTTTTTTTTTTTTTTTTTTTTTTGAGACAGAGTCTCACTCTTGGCCAGGCTGGTGTGCAGTGGCACAATCTCAGCTCACTGCAACCTCCACCTCCCGGGTTCCAGCGATTCTCCTGTCTCAGCCTCCCGAGTAGCTGAGATTATAGGTGCAAGCCACCACGCCCAGCTAATTCTTGTATTTTTAGTAGAGACGGGGTTTCACCATGTTGGCCAGGCTGGTCTCGATCTGACCTCAGGTGATCCGCCCACTTCGGCCTCCCAAAGTGCTGGGTTTACACACGTCAGCCACCGCGCCTGGCCCACTCTGCCTTCTTTCAAGCCTCCCCTCCTTCGCTTGGAGCCCACCCCTTCCCTAGTCCTCCCCTTCCGGCTGTGACCTTACTCTCTTGTTGCCCAGGCCCCCCCCCACATCCCCTCACTCAGAATATTCTCCGTGTTTTCCGTCACCAAGTTGATCTCTGGTTCAAGAAAATATTCCGAGGCCACACAGCGACCTTTCTCCCGACCTGGGGGGAAGAGAAACAGATAGGGCTTGATGAGAGGCTCCTAAGCTCTAGAGAGGCTGTAGGGAGCAGGATGGATACAGGGGAGACCTCAGGATGGGGGTGCAAGACCTAGCCCAAGTGTTACCTCCTATACTACTCCAGGGGGTTGGAAAAGGGGATGGGTGGATGTCTGCAATTTTTCTTTTTCTTTTTTTTCAGATAGAGTCTCGCTCTGTTGCCCAGGCTGGAGTGCTGTGGTGCCATCTTAGCTCACTGCAACCTCTGCTTCCCAGGTTCAATTGATTCCCCTGCCTCAGCCTCCAAGTAGCTGGGATTACAGGCACCCACCACCACACCCAGTTAATTTTTGTATTTTTAGTAGAGACAGGATTTTGCCATGTTAGCCAGGCTGGTCTCCAAATCCTGACCTCGGGTGATCTGCTCGCCTTGGCCTCCCAAAGTGCTGGGATTACAGGTGTGAGCCACCACACCTGGCCTGGGACTCCTCTTTCTAGCTGCCCTAGAGATCCTGGTTGGAGGAGGACAAGGTTGGAACTCTAGGTCCTAAGCAAGAAAGGGGCTGCGGATCAGGACTCTTGGTCCCTAAGGAGGACGAGGTCTGGGGAGCCAGGATTCTTACAAGGAATGGGTCTCCGTGGTCCCTGGCAGGTACAGATTTTTACTTTTATTTTTAAGAGACAGGGTCTTGGTCTGTCACCCAGGCTGGAGTGCAGTGGCACCATCATAGCACACTGCAGCCTCAAACTCCTGGACTCAAGCAATCCTCCTACCTCAGCCTTCTGAACAACTGAGGGTGCAGGTGCGTGTCACCAGTCACAGCTAGGCATGATGGAGTCTCCCTCTGTCACCCAGGCTAGATTGCAATGATTTGATCTCAGCTCACTGCAACCTCTGCCTCCCAGGTTCAAGCAGTTCTCCTGCCTCAGCTTCTCAAATAGCTGGGATTATAGAGGTGTGCCACCACACCTGGCTGGCATGCATTTTTTTTTTTTTTTTTTGAGTTGGAGTCTCATTCTGTCACCCAGGCTGGAGTGCAGTGGCGTGATTGCAGCTCACTGCAACCGCCACCTCTCAAGTTCAAGTGATTCTCCTGCCTCAGTCTCCTGAGTAGCTGGAATAACAGGCATACCACCATGCCCAGGTAATTTTTGTATTTTCAATAGAGATGGGGTTTCACCATGTTGGTCAGGCTGGTCTCGAACTCCTGACCTCATGAACCACCCGCCTCAGACTCCCAAAGTGCTGGGATTACAGGTGTGAGCCACCACGCCCGACCTGCATTTTTTTTTTTTTAATCTTGCCCACTCAGCATTAAAATTGTGCAGGGGACAAGTTCTTAACCTAGACTACGGACTGTAAGGGAGGACTTCAGAATTCCTTAGGGGTTAGGGGCCCGGAGCATTGGGGCTCCTACATCCAAGAATAAAGGGCTAGTCATTGGGATTCCACATAGAAATTTGAACTTCCAGGAGAGAAACAGGATCTGTTTCTGATTTCTGGAACCCAAGAGGTGGGACTATGGCTAAGGACTCTCAGACCCCAGGCAAGGCAGGAACTGTTGAGTGGAAAGCAGGTGAGGGCCGTACCTGCAAAGAAGCAGACTCGCCAGAGGCCGGCGTGCAGGGCCATCTTGACCTCAGTGGTCTGGTTCTGCGGCAGCACTGTGCCCTCTTCCATGTACAGCCAGTAGTCAGTGCTGACCGCGATGCCCACGAGGAGCAGGCCGCAAGCCCCAAACACGCTGCTCAGCAGGGTCAGGGCGCGGCTGCTGCAGTGACTCATCCTCAGAGGCAGGGGGCGCCCTGCGGGGCCTGTGGGAGGGAAGCTGCAGTGCAGAGCTCCATGGGACCGACCAGAGACAGTGCTCGACCCCATGCGGCAACCCGGGATGCTGGGCCCCAGCCAGAGACACCGACTCCCAAATCAAACTCTCTCAGATCTGACCTCTGTGTTCTGACCCATGATCCCAACCCCGGACTCTGACCACAGACACCAACTGTTGAGCCTCAACCTCAGGACTGGGCTCCCCAAACCTGCCACCTGTGCTCTGGCTCCAGAGGCGATCCCCAACCCCAGAATTCGATTTCTTTTTTCTTTCTTTTTTTTTTTTTTTTTGAGACGGAGTTTCGCTCTTGTTACCCAGGCTGGAGTGCAATGGTGCGATCTCGGTTCACCGCAACCTCCGCCTCCTGGGTTCAGGCAATTCTCCTGCCTCAGCCTCCTGAGTAGCTGGGATTACAGGCACGTGCCACCATGCCCAGCTAATTTTTTGTAGTTTATAGTAGAGACGGGGTTTCACCATGTTGACCAGGATGGTCTCGATCTCTCGACCTCGTGATCCACCCGCCTCGGCCTCCCAAAGTGCTGGGATTACAAGCCTGAGCCACCGCGCCCGGCCTAGATTTCTAATCATAACTTTCAGCCCAGACCCGGAGATGGAATCTTGGCTCCAACTATGGCTGGACCTGGGTCTCAAATATTGTGACCCTGAGCCGAAATTCAAATTCAAGATTCTCAACCCCAGAGAATTGTTTGGGCTCCCCCTACCCGCCCAACCCTAACCTCACCTGCTGACCTGAGACCCTAACATAGAAATCAGATGCCACTAGAGTCCGTAACCTTGAGTGCGGGTCAGTGACTCAGAAACTGTTAGGCAGATCAATGATGTCACCTCTAGGACCTGGCATCCTGCAGCCCTGCCTCTGTGCTCTGATCGAAACCCCCAGTTGTGAGCACCAGACTCCAATGAGAATCAATAACCTCAACTCTGAGCCAGGACCTACATCCCAGAGCACAGGGAATTGGGCGTGAACTCTGGATGCTCTCCAACTTGAGCTGGCCAGAAACTCTAACCCAGGCTACCCAGTCTGAAGTCCATGCCCTAATCTAAAACCCTGCACCTTGTCTCTGAACTGCACCCAGAAATCTGCAAAGTGGGTCACCAATCAAGGATCTCCAATCCCATACCAGGGCCTCACAGCCTTGACCTCAGGCCCATCTAAGACTTTGAGCAGAGCACCCCCCCGCCCCCCAACTTCAGTTTAACCTCTTGGATTTGTATCTTGAGCCTAACATCCTATTTGAACACCAAGAACTTGACCCATGACCTTCTAACTCTGATCTTGTGCCTTGACCTCATTTGATACCCCAATATAAGATCTCATTGTATAACACAGATCCTAGCTCCAGAACCCTAATTCTACCCTCCCAGATCTAGGCAGGCCCCTGAACCTGGAATGCTGGAACATCTTCACAGGCTGCTGAGTCCCAGAATATTGGAACTCAGAGACATGGAACCAGAATCTCAATGAGAGATTCCAGAATGTCAAAATCACCAGCCGGGGCTTGGCGTGCTGATGCCTGTAATCCCAGCACTTTGGGAGGCTGAGGCAAGTGGATCCCTTGAGGCCAGGAGTTCGAGACCAGCCTGGCCAACATGGTGAAACCTCATCTCTACTAAGAAATACAAAACTTAGCCTGGCGCGGTGGCTCACACCTATAATCCCAGCTACTCGGGAGGCTGAGGCAGGAGGAATCGCTTGAACCTGGGAGGTGAGGTTGCAGTGAGCTGAGATTGTGCCATTACACTTCATCCTGGGTGACAGAGCGAGACTCCATCTCAAAAAAAAAAAAAAAAAATCATGAGCTAGACCCCACCGCCACCACCACCAATAATGCAGCATCCTAATCAGAGCACCCCAGTCAAACAATGAACTCTCATCCTTCCAGCTAGGATTCAGTGCCCTGAACTTTAAAATCCTCTTCAATATCCAGTATGGAGCCCAAATTTCATAACACTAGACTGCAAACAGTAGATCCCCAGTTCATATCTGTGACATCCCCAATTCCAATTAGGAACCTAGAAATTCCAACGAGGGAGCTCCTCAACCCAGAGCTCAAGGACTTGAAATCCCTTAACCACGATCCTCCCCCGATCCCTGCAAGAACTTTCCCCAAGCCACACAATCCTATGACTTGGGGGGCTCAACTTGGGACCCTCAGCCTGTATCAACCAGAGACCTTACATCCCTGAATACCTGGGATCTTTCTAACTATGAAAGTTGAGACCCCGAAAAATTCTCCCCAACAAAGTAATCAAGACATACAACGCCACTTTCCTTAACCAGAATTCTTCCAGCCTTGCAGCTCTGCTCCACCTGAATAAAGGCTCTGGAGTCTGAGACGACCCTCCTCCTCCCCGCTCCACCCCGCACTCCCAGACTCCAGCGCCCCGCTCCCTCCCCGCCCCCCAGGCTCCCGGAGGCCTCCGAGATCCGGAGTCTGGGAACGCTGTGGCCAGCTTTTCCTCCCATCCCCCGCCTAGCGGTTCAGGGGCTTGACCGCGAGCCGCCGGCTCCTCTTCCAGCCCTGTGGGCTCGGAACCCGGCACCATCACCCCGGCCACCCTGGCTGCCTCCGACCCAGGTGGCCGATCTCAGCTTCCCCCTTTCACTCCTCTGACTCCAGCTGGGACCTCGTCCCTTCTCCACGTTCTCGCACCCCTTTTAAAGCCCAGTCTTGCTCCGATTCCTCCTCACTCTCGCTCCTTATTCCTCCTTTGGGACCCTCCCCACAGGCCTGGATCCTCCTTTTCTCCCACCCTTTCCCAGATTCAGGCGTTGGAATCTCCAGGGTCCGGTTCTGCAAGTCCTAAGCCGAGACTCCACCTCCCTTCCACCTCTCCGGAGACTTAACTCCCCCTTTGCGGGGACCCCTTCCCAGACCCGCACACCCAGCTCTGGCCGGGCCTGGGTCCTCCGCCCTCGCCCCGTACCGCCTTCCTCGAGGACCCCGCCTCTGCCCTCCCCGGCCCAGGGTCGCCGCGACTCCGCCGTGAACAGTGCAGTTTCCCACTCCGGGACCCTGAGACCCCGTCCTCCCGCATCGCCAGGCCCAGACGTCCCTGCATCCCCCGTAGCCGCTCGAATTCGGGCGTCCCGACCGCCAGGATCCCACCCCTGGAGCCACTCGGGTCCCTGGTCGCCCCAACCCCGGCTCGCAGCCACCTCGAGGGGCGCCCCCTCTTCCTCCCAGGACCCTCCCCTCGCGCGCTCACCTCGCTCAGGGCTGGGCGGACGCTCCGGGCCGCGGGCCCCGCAGCCGCATGACCGGCCCCGCGGCTTCCCCCGGCCGCCGCCGCCGCCACCGGGGTCGCCGGTGCCCGCGCCCCCCGCCCCCGCCCCGGAGCCCGGCGTCCCGGCCCCCTCCCGGCCTCCCACCCCCCACCCCCCGCGCCCGCGGCCTCACTCGGCGGACGGAGCCGGGAGCAGGAACCGGCGGCCGTTCATTGGCTACTGCGGAGGAGGGGAGGGGCGGGGAGGGAGTGGGGAAAGGATGAAGCGAGGGAGGGCGATGGGCCTTGAGGATGGGGGAGGCAGAGAGGGAGAGAGAATAGAAGCCAGAGGCACAGAGCCCGAGAGGGGTACAGGCACAAAGAGAGACAGGGCAGAGCGAGAAAGTCACGCCGAGACCTTGAGGCCGAGAAATCCAGGGACTCGGGTCTGGAGACGGAAGGAGACAGAGACAGAGAGAGTCGAGGAGGGAGAGAGACGGAGTTTAAGACCACCCCCCCACCACCTAGGCACAGAGAATCTGAGACCCGGGCAGTGGAGAGGTCAGAGACCAGAAAGAGACAGAAAGAGACGGGGGACGCTCAGAGGCCTGGGGCTGAGAGGTGCTGAGACCCAGAGACCTTGAGCTCGGAGCAGAGACGGAGAGGCAGAGAGAGACAGACAGAGAGAGGAGAGAGACAGAGACTCTGAGAAGGAGAGACAGAAGGGACAATCCTGGGGGTCCCCTGATGAGGACTGGGGCTCTAGCCAGGTCTGGGGCGGAGCCTGGGGTCCGGACGGCTGCAGGAAGCGGGAGGGGGCGTCCCGGGCCGGGGTCCCTACAGCAGCGGGCGGGCGCAGAGCGGAGCCGGGTCCTGCAGCCGCCGCGGAGCCGGGAGCCGGGCCAGCACCCCCCCCACCCGCCGTGATGTCAGCGGGGCCACTCTTAAAGGGGCAGGCCGCCCGCCGAGGGTCGGAGCGAGGGTTGGGGCCTGCGGGCACGGGATAGGGGTATCGCGCAGTGATGAGGGAGACCGGGACAGCCTCGGCATCCAGCTGGACCCGGGTCTGGAAACCCAGGAGCCTGCAGGGAAGAAGAGCCGCCCGGGTCCGCAAGGAAGCCTGCGAAGCTTTGGAGATCAGTGCCCTCTAAACACACAGACAAGGCACACCGCTCTGCTGGCCTGGCCCTGTCCGGAGACTACATTTCCCATCAGCCCTGGCGGCGAGGAGCCGCACTTGGGGGAAGGGTCTGCCGCGAGGCCTGTTGGGAACTGTAGTCCATCTGCACGAACCCCGGCACTCCCCAGACTCGCAAGTGGGTCAAGGGAAAGAGGCCCAGAAGGCGCGTCTGCCTGCCGTGTGCCTCAGTCGCCGATTCCTAGGCTCACGGGTTCCGGTTGTTTTCGATTGCTCTGGCATGGGGGGTCTCTTCCTCTGATCAGGTCTCTGGGTCTCTGGAGACCAGCCTGTGATCTCCCCCCTCGGGAAGGACTTCTCTCCCGTGTCTGAGCCTGGGTGCGCGTGTGAGCTTGCGTGGCTGCTCTGGTGAGCAAGGGCGCGCTGGGTCTCTGTGCTGAGGTCTCCACCTGGCACTCAGTGACCTCGCTGTGCACTGTCCACGTTGGTGCCCCCTGTGGTATTTTCTCTCCCTGCCTCCGTCTGTGTGTGCGCTCCTCTGCCTGCTCCCCTGCTGTGGGTGTCTCCCCTCCACTTTGTGGGTCTCCACGCTTTCCTTCTCTGTTTGTTTCTATGTACAGTCACTGTCCCGCCTCCACACCCCCTTCATTCTCCAAGCTTACAAGAAAATATCCAAACACTTCAGCATCAGCATCCCAAATTTATTCTCCAGCAGCTGTGGCCGGGTGGCAGAGGCTAAGGGAAGGGAGGGGAGGAGGAGAGTCCCAGAGAGTGGCAGGCACTGGGGAAGACTGCGGTGGGTCCGAGCCAGACTGGAGCCATGCACAGGCAGGCGGGCGGGAGGCGGGGATCAGTGATGGCTTCGGGATGGGGAAGTCTAGAACAAAAGCTGATTGGGAGCCGCTGGGGAAAGAATTCTCCATATATCCCAGGAATCCCCAGAGCACAGCCGTGGGACGTACTGGAGGAGGGGTCACGCCTCCCACTCATCTAGAACTGGAGTGGAGGCGGGGGAGCGGGCCTCGGAAGCTGAGGGTTGTTCTGGAACCTGAGTCTGGAACAGCCAACCCCGTGAGGCTGTTTCCCCAGGGGCGGGGTGGTCTGGAGGGAGGCATAGAACTACCAAGATGGAGTTTCGAACCCCATGGAGTTGGGGATGGCGGTGGTGTGGTAGTGTCTCTGGACCCCATGGGGGCAGAGTCCAGAATGCTAAGGTTGGGGAGAATATCGGGCTCCACTCAAGGCTTGAACGCGGGACAGCTCTAGAGGCTCTATAGAGTTTAGAAGAACAGGAACGCTTGGAAGGGGCAACTAGAACCCGCGGGGGCAGAGCCGGAATGCTGGGGTGCAGGATCTAGAATGGGGCGGGGGGGGGGGTGTGGTGGTGAAGTGGGGGCTGCTGCCGGCGCGGCGGAGGGGTAGTTGGGGACACCTAGTGGCGGTGGGTGAGATTACATGACAGGCACAGGCACTGGGCTGGTGGGGCTGCGGGCATCCGGGTGCACGAAGTCGGGGTTCACGTAGGTGAAGCCCTGGAAATCGGCCTGGTCGATGCTGGCCAGGACTAGGCGGTCTGGAGGGGTCAGCGCTGGCGCCGCCCGCGTGAAGAACTTGTCAAAGTTCTCGCCACTGCGGCCACACTGTGGGAGACCGGGGAGGGAAAGTGAAGCAGCTCCCTGGGCTCCTCCATGTCCCTCTGTGCACCCCGGTGCCACCTCCTGTCTCCTGCAGAATCTCTGTGCATGCCTCACGGTCACTGCACCTCCCTTTGGGAGGGGGACCTCGGCGGAGGGAGCTCCAACCCCGGACACAGGTACATGGAGACCCACGGGAACCCCACCCCTTCAGGGACCAAGTTTTTGTTGCCTGGAGGATGACTGACCGGGCGGGGTCTGAAAGGAGGCGGGATCTCCAATCGTTCCAGCCGCTCCCAGTCAATCCAGCGGAAAAAGCCGTGTGCACGGATGGTGGGTTCCCCATCAGGCCCTGAGCCCAGGCGCTTCCCTGGGTGCTTGGTCAGGAACTGTGGGAAACACAGAGACAGACAGACAGACAGACAGACAAAGTCCCGGACAGGGAGACCCAGAGATGGAGAAAGAAATAGACACAGAAGGGAGGATGGTGGACCCAAGAGACACAGGCATGAGATCCAGAGAGATAAGAACAGCCAGGGGAAACAGGCAAAGGGAGGGAGGAAAGGCAGAGAAAGAAGAGAGAAAGAGAGAGAGAGAGAGAGAGAGAGAGAGAGAGAGAGAGAGAGAAAGAAAAAAGAGAGACAGAGAGAGAGAAGAGAGAGAAGAGAGACACACACAGAGAGAAGAGAGACAGAGAAACAGAGGAAGAGGGAGGATACATGAGAATGGGAGTGACCAAACTCAGACCCAGAGACCCAGGGACACACAGACAAACAGTACACATCATGGTGTGAGATTGTGAGGGGCAGAGAACCCGAGAAAAAGGAGAGATACAGGGAGGATCCCAGGGGGAGAAGGAAAGGAAGATAATGAGGGAGATGGAGCAGGGGAGATGGAGATGGGATAGGGGAGGGGGGAAGGAGGTAGGGGAGGGAGAGAAGGGGAGAGGAGACAAAGGGGAAGAGGGGGGGAAGGGGGGAAGAGAGGTTGCAGACCCAGAGAAAAGGGAAATAGAAATTCGGAACAGGGTGCAGAGACCCCAGGTGAGAATGCAGAAACCCGGAGAAGGGAGGAAACAGAGGAGACCCGGGGAATGGGAGATCCGGAAAGAGAGAAGGATAGAGACCCAGAAAACACACATCCAGAGCGAGAACAAAGACCCAATATGGGGGCAGAGACCCAGAGAAAGGGGACAGAAAGCCAGCAAGAGAGGTGGGTGAGATGCAGAGTGTTGTGTGTATGAGAGTGGACAGGGGAGGGGAACGGGGGGAAGCAGGGAGGAAAAGGTGTGAAAGTGCAGACAGATACAGAAGGAGACACGGAGAAAAGGAAGGGACACAGAGAACCCCATTGTATGCAGATGGAGGGGGAGGCAAGAGACAGAAACGAGAGAGACCGTCAAGGAGATGCAGAGAGAGCCGCTAGACGCAGAAGGTGCTGACACGGGGTGAACACCTGCTAGACCCAGGTGCTTTCTTCTGTGGCAACTCCATAACCTCTGAGGAGAGTTAAGCTCACAAAGTTTTGGTGACTCACCCAAGATCCCACAGGAAGAAAAGCGGTAGAAGTTGGGTTTACCTGTCCCACCCAGTTCTGGAAAGAGACCCTGGACTCCCAGCACTTCCTGCAAGCAGGGAGCTGAGGAGTAGGGGCCACAGAGAGGGATGAGACGGAGGCCACCTCCAGACCTGGTGGCAACAGGGCAGTAAATCATTGTTCTAACAAAACCTGTGTATCATATCAACTTTTCCAATGGGTGGAAGTAAAGTGACTTGGGGAAGGGAGCCTTTTTCTACCAGACACAGAGACAGCAATGGGGTGCATGGATTGCGAGCCTGGAGAAGCTGGGAGTCAGGGGGCTCTCACCCCCTTGCAGATGGCCACGGCTTCCCGGGAAAGCGACTTGGGGTAGGTGACAGTTTGTTCCATGATGGCCTGAAACAGCTCCTCTTCGTCCTCCCCATCGAAGGGAGGCTATGAAAGTGGAGGGGACAAAGTCAGAGACTTGCCCAACTGCCTTTCTCCAAACTTTCCACACCATCCTCACCCCACCATGAACATGCTTGACCCATTACACCCCCCATATCCTTGAGAGAGACTGAACCAAACCACCAAAGCTTGATCTCTCTCCTTATCAGGGTCTCTCATTTCCCATCTCAGATGCCTCAGCTCTGTGCATCTCTGATCTATTCTGCCTCTCTTTATCTGCTATGTAAATCAGCAGGGTGCTAATTACACAACATGTCAGTGAAACAGAAGAGAGGAAAAACTGCTGGAAACACCCTACAAGCATTCTCCTGGTTGGATGAGTGGGTTCACAGTCTTCTGTGAACCCAGTCTTCTGAAAAAATAATGCCAAGGCAAGAATTTTTTTTTTAAGATGGGGTTGCACCATGTTGGCCAGGCTGGTCTCAAACTCCTGACCTCAAGTGATCTGCCCACCTCAGCCTCCCAAAGTGCTGAGATTATAGGCATGAGCCACTGTGCCCAGTCAAATTTTTATTAACTTCTAACTAAAATTTAGCGTTCCCTTCAGTTATAATGCAGGCAGCAGCAGTACTTGTGGCTTCATTACCAATATAAATCACAAGTATTTTCTCACCACATGAGAGTTGCAGATATTTCAAATTATTAGTCGTTCCTACTTGAAAATTACTGTTAGAGCTCCTTTTTTCTATTACTGTTAGAACTTATGACTTAATGAACTAATAAGAAATTGTACATAGGTCCATATTCCAATTCTAAATACACAACTGTATAAATTTAAGTTAATTTAGTTGGTTGTTAGATTCAATTAGATTGTAAAAGTTTTGGTGGCTATCTTTCAACAATTTATTTCTTTTTTTCTCTTGTTTGTTCTTTTTTTTGGTGGGGGGAGCAGGGAGGGATGATCCGGGGAGATTGTTTGTTCTTTTGAGATGGCGTCTTGCTCTGTTGCTTGGGTTGGAGCACAGTGGCATACTCATAGTTCAGTGTAACCTCAAATTCTTGGGCTCAAGTGACCCTCCTGCCTCAGCCTCCTGAGTAGCTGGGACTGTAGGTGCCCTCTACCATAGCCAGCTAAGATGATCAGGAAGGTAGCACCTAAACATCTTTAGCTGTAGTACACTCAGCAGTCAAGGAATCCAGTCAAGCTGATGTAG